GTAAGTGGGGGGGCTAACTTCACGCGCGTATGTGTTTTTTGCGATTCTTAATTACGGCATTGACTACCAATCGTCGGGAATGGACTACCAAACACCACCAAACGACCACCAAACGAATGATAATGGTTATTATTGCATTTTCAGTAGTGGGGGGGCTAACTTCACACAGCCCGCAGGCCGCGCGTGTTGCGGGGCAACGTGCGTGTCTTGTTTAACACGCTTTAAAATACATACCTGTTGGGAACAGCGCGACGGAACGCACTACATACTATCCATCCGGACGAGACGAGGCACAATAATTTATAAATATAAGAATGATCGCAATGTATAAAATCTAAGTACAAATAAATTAGTCTGAAGCAACAAAGTCCGTAGACTTCAAAGTTGAAGGCGGACTAAGCACAGGATGAATAAAAAAATATGTATATTTTTTTATATTTATTGATTGGTTATACACTCGAGCCAATACAACAAACTTGCTAATGAAATTAAATACGTTATAGCTTTTTCGAGAAGTCGCAGTCTGTGATTGTAGAAAGTTAAATTGGAAACATGTAACAACTCTGTTACTGTTGTGCAGAAAGTATCGAGTGCATTGGTACTGTCGCACAACAAACATTGTAATGAAATATCCTATTGTTATGCCCGCGTTTTATTGATTTCGTCAAGAATCGACTGCAGAGTCGGTGCTTCCATGGCGGTCTCAGAAATTGCCAGGTCCGCCCGGTGCCTCTTTCTCAACGGAGGGGCCGTTGTGGGGACGCTCGTAGTCGCTCGTCCTATTCGAGCCCCCAAAATGTTACGCCTCGCGTGGAGACGCAAGCCGTCGGATCCGGTCCTCTTTGTCTTCACGCCGACACACACGCGCGCGCGGAAATGAAGGAAGACCGATAGGCGACTCGCCAGATACCGGACGACCAAAATGCAGGTGTAACACTATTTTTTCACTAGTATGTTTTACGAGATGAACACTATACATGAAGCAAAATTCAATTTGTTAGTAAAGCCACATTCTAAGAAATATGGATGTGAATTCTCACCAGTTGTGTGCAATTGACACCCATACAGGTGTTTATATAATTCTCACCTTATCGATATGAAATTATCATTGCCTGGTTAGTGTGGAAAATTGACACTGTCGACGTGAACTATCAACAACGTGTATCTACATATTCTACATACATACACGACGACCTAAACGCTGTAGCGATTGATTGTTCTATTATGGTTACGTGTGGCGTCGTCACGGCGGTCATATTGCATGTCGTGAAAACGAAACAATATAGCATCAAAGTTAACACCGCGTTTGTCGGTGTGAAAGATTTTCTACACTTTCGACGTTGAAATTTACACCGAGTTATTTAACTATGTGGGTGTGGTGAAAGATCACACCACTATTTTTTAGAGTGCAGATGATGGCAGCATTTTATTATACTAAATAAATGATTGAATAGAAATTGAAATATGATTTATGACTTTAATCTGATTTTCTTAATACTCACAATTCCTGGGCTTAAGATCACTTTAAAGAACACTTATTCTGCGTGAAATGAATAAAGCATGAGGAATTATTAATAAACCGACAACTAGGTATGTAACTAATAGAAAAGTTGTCTTCTGGACAGCCTCTGGTCGGCAATCTTTGTAGATTTCCTTTGCGTTTGGAATAGAAGCAACATGCCGGCTTTGACACGTCAATCGATACCATGAAACGTTACGCTCTGGGGAAATAAAAGGACCGATTTCGCTGCCGAGCAAAGGGTACAACGAACACACAATGTTAGCTAGTCATTGTTTTAATCGGTCTGCGTAATTTTCGGAAACGAATCGAAACTGGTAATAAGCGGGCCTCGTTATTTAAAGGCCATGGCCAATATTGTCCCGTGTTTACTTAAGATTCCGGTTTGCCGATTGGCGTTCGTTTATCGAGCAGCGCCATTTAAAACTTTAAATTGGCAGGTAACGAGCACCTTTTGTGCTGGATAAACGCTAGTCCAGAATACGTTTTTCGCCATTGAAGTGGTAACAGCGCTGGGGCTTTTTATCGAGGGCCAATTTAACCTACATGGAGCATGTCGAAGTTGCTCATAAAAATGTTGCGCGAATGAGCATAACGAACCGGTGAGTTTGTTATTAGTGCGGCGAACTTGGCGTTTTTGGTTTCTACCGAATAACAAGGGAGCCATTTAAAATTTTAATGGTTTTGATGCGCAAGAAATTAAATTTGGATTGGATTACAAGAATGTAATTTTCCGCTTTTGATGGACGCTATTTATGAATTTTAATGATCGTTAATAAGCAATGTCATCCTAACGTTTCGGTTTCTCTTACGCAAACTAACATTAATATGCGATCATATAATTTCTATTTTGCATACTTATATCCAGGGGATTTTACTATCCATAATACATTGTATTTAATTTTCATACTACACGCAAACTTCTCTTTCATCGGGGTAATAAACGTTTTTATACTTTTAGAAATATATGGTAAATTAATAATTATATTTTTTGTAGCAACATTTTGTAGCAAAATTAAGTATTCATGGAATAAGTTGCCGCCGTATAAATAGCATGGATAAATAATATATACCATATGATATTGATTCGTTTAACTTTACAGCTTCTCTTTCCTTGGGAGAAAACACAATTGAAAATATTTTATATGTTACCGTTTTATGAATTGTTCTCAATTACCTTATTTTGATTTTTCATCAAATATCAGAAAATAAAATTAATTATTTTTCACCTTATTATTTCTCTTAATTGTGTGCACAGCTATTTTATTATTCATTGCGCAGGGATAAAAAATTAAACCAATGTTTGTGTTAACAAATGCTATAATTTGTTTGTCTATTTCCTAAGAGACAAAATATATTTATAGTAAACTCATACCATGATAGTTAAGAAATAAAAACGCACATTACAGATATATCGTGTTGTTCAATAGAAATATTAGAAATTCATGTTGCTGTCAGCAGATTATTATAAATAACAGTCAAATGCGATATAAGCGTATACTGATATATTCTGCCGAGCCGTGTCGGCTATGTTCTCAGCGTAGCTACTCTCGCTGTTTCATTTTGCTGACGGCGACACACACGTTACTTCTAACGAAACACGTACGGGACCACAAAATACCCGCGTCCGCGGGGACAATCCTTGTAATAGTCTTGCGCGAAATTAACGTCTCGACGACGACGACGACGACGGCAACGGTTACACACGTATGCTACTTACGTACCGCCAAAGTACGCGCCGCTTTATGTTATTATGCAATTCCACCTGTCAACGTTTCCCAAGTCGAAATCATGTTTACTGTTAGTTAGAATCATATTTTTGCATGGAAAATTCGTCATTGTGAGATCATCTTGATGCAATCGCTTTCAATTGCGCTGTCTTGAAATACTGTCCAGAATACATCCGTATCGCAGCTAAAAATTAAAGAATTAAAACTTTAGTTTGCAACAATTCTTAAAGAAATTAATGAATATTCAGTTTTATATTGTTCCATGGTAATTAAAAATAAATATGATATTTTTTATTTATTGGTTAATTGAGTTATAACTAAAATTAGTCATTTAATTAGATTCGTTTTATTAAATTAATTTTTAAAAATATGTGCGTTTTGAAGCATCGGCATGATACGAACGTCAAAGAGACATATGTTAAATTCGATATGAGAATTTTTACTGTGCTTACTGTTGCTCAACAAAAAGAGTTTTTATCTCATGTTTCTTCTTTGTTCTCCTATTTTATCGAATAGTGCACACAAACAATAAGTCAATGCATGAGTTTTTACGTGAAAAAAACAGTCAAATTACTGGACTATTTTGTTATTTTAATATTATACACGCTCTGTAAAAGTATTTCATATATTCAAAAATATGTATGAATTGTAATCTATTGCGCCAAAAACAATTATATAGTTATATAGTTGAAAGATTAAGGGCAGAGTGCGCAAAACTGTTTCCATCATATATCAACAGATAAAATTTATGCAACTATTATTACATATTATATGTCAATAATTTATAAAGTACTTTGAAATCTCAATGAATGACATCCGTGGATCATGATTCGTACGGTCGCTGAAAGCGTCAAAATAAATTTTGTGAAATAATGACCCAGTACTCGGCAGTATTTTTATGCGTTTTGCACAAAATGAAAGAGATGAAGAGTTTCATGAAAATTTACGTCATGTTCTAATGGCAAATGGGCACCTATGTAGACAGACATTTCTAGTGCGCCGCAGGAGCACAGTAATCTAAGGAACACAGAGAAAACTTTCGATGAACACGCGCAAAATTTTGTCGTGACCATGCAAGAGCTCGGTTGCATCTGGATAATTCGCTCCCGTTTCAGTGAGTGTTCTGAAGTCTCGGAGAAGCGGAAACACTCGGGAAATAGGAAACTTTTCTGGGAAACTGAAAGTTCTGGGTGAATGTTTGCGAGCGTGTACAAGTAACATTTATGTTTATGCAATTTTGCGTTATTGTCCGTTCGAAATGGTTTGGTTCGTTGTTAGACCGTTTGCTTTCAGTAGTGAACTTTTCGATAATTCACTAAATCGTCGACAAATCTGTATATATCAAAACAGTTTAAATAATTTTGAAGTGCATATATATATACTTCAAAATTTTTTAACATCTCAACTGATAATACTGTTATGTCTAACGGGTAATGTCCGCGGGAGGGGACGCGAGAATAATAGAAGGACACTATTATTCGAGGGAAAACGGTTTTTATTAATTAGTAACACAAAAGCGCCCCAGACTCGCGTCCGCGATCAGCGAGGGCCAAACTTTGAATAATTACAGAATAACTTAAATTAACGAAAGTAATGTTAGAGAATATTACTTTCGTTAATTTAAATTGTTTTTGTACAGGAGCCTTATTTACATTTTCTATTTCATTACAGAATGTTTATTAAACGAAAACACTCGCTCGTTTCTCAGCAAAAGGTATCCAGGCAGTCCGCCAGGATACCGGGTGTCTCGAAGCGGTCGTAACAATACTATCGTGGTTCACATATGTATAAAACATTTGGATACAATATTTGTAGAATATGTTATGTATGATAGTAGAGTAAGTATGAGTCGTAACTCATATTAGTAAGCTGATAATCTCTGCTTAAGCGGCAAGTGCGATAATAATAAAAAAAGAACAGTTTTTGTTCCGCTAGAGGAACTTGAAGTTTACAATGCTGTTAAATCAAGGAATAAGGTTACATTATTTGCTGACGTAACATAGTTTCCGAAGCTCCTATACAAACAACAGTAATTTTTAGAATTGTGTTACACTTCCGTGGTAGGAAGAAGATTTGAAAGACGAAAAGACATAATTTCATAAGGTAAAATCCAAAGTAATATAAATACAAATGAGACGGTGTAATGTTGACTGGGAGAGGCGAATAGATAAGAATTCAATTTTCACGTTATTCATTGCAACAAAATCACATCGCTTTGTCCTGCGAAGTGGAATGACAGCGGCTTTTCGTGAACATGTATTTATACATGTGTTGCATATGGCACAATTAGACATATTGTTCCCGTAGTTGTTTGCGTAGCTGCGTTTTCCATTCCTCCCCTCCACGCACCTGCTTCATACCGAATCGAGGGTACTATCGGGCCAATTGTTTGCGTGCACCGCGATGGCACGAGGGTAACCGATGTAGTGCCGATAGTCACTTTGAAATTTGCGCACTCCTGTAAACTGTAGCAGCTGTACAACAATAACGACATATCGATAGCCGCGCGCGCCCTTTCCGCTTTTTCCTCCCCTACGTACCTACTACACTTCCATGGCATCCGTCGCTATGAGGTTCGAAAAATATTTGCGAGTATCAGTTTGAACCCCATCCTCGAACTTGAAAAGTGGATACCACCCGCAGCGCAATGGTCGCAAATATCGCGTCAAATACGCGCGACTCGCGCGCGAGGAAATTGAATATCGCTCTCGGTTGATCGGGTGACGTTGCCGTTGGGTGGGAATTTCACCAAGTTTCTTCGCAATCATTATTGACGGTATCTCGCGAGAAGAGCGGAGGATGCTTTCAGGTCGAGCCACCGAACTGCGAAATGCAGGATATATTTCAGTTAATGAGTATTTTATTGTGAATATTAATTCATTTTCTGGCCTGTTGACTGCTTCAAGAAGAGATTCGTTTTAGATAAGTAAATCTATCTATTTCCTTTTTTCTACAACAAACATACATATGTTTCAGTTGAAAAACGTATCGCGAAAGTTAGAACGTTTACCTCGTTGACATTTGGTCTAACTGATCGTCGCTCCGCGCAAAAAGAAACCGCGAAACTGCTCGCGCTTGCAATTCCTACTATTCAACACTGCGCTAAACTGGCGCTTAATTGCAGCTAAACTCAAGACGATTAGTGAAACGGAGTAATGTGCGGCCGCGACGAGCAAGTCGGTTGCGGCAGTATGTGGAGAAAAGGAATAAATGTGGCAAGTTGTTTCGCGGTTTAGGAGAGATCTCGGGTGGTCGTTGAAGAAATAAAAGTCAGGATAGTGGTAGAGAAAAGACAAAAAAAAATAGGACACGATCTCAACCTTAGGTATTTCTCGGTACACGATTATAATTGCAAATTCAACTTTATTATTTATAGTTCTAATTTTTTCACTTCTTAAAGCTTTCATTCACTCTGAATAGATAGCTGAAAACCTGAATTTTTAATTCTTTCGCCGCTTTCTGTAATAAAATTATTTTCGTAATTTTATTCAGTTAGTTGTAAATTTAATGCAGTTTTTGACAGTACTCCGTGATTTTTTTAACTGAATGATCTATATTCAAGTTTTTTATTTCTTGGTAATAAATAAATATGAACAAAATCTGAGCTTCAAAATTCAAGAACTATCTCGCATTATGACTTATTTCGTCATTACTTGAATTTATTACTTGAAGAAGAGGGATCTCTCAACGTAAGAACCTTTTTTTCGATGTGACATTTCCATCACGGAGTGATGTAACGCTTCGAGAAATTGCGGAGAACTTTCAAGGTGAAAACACTTTTCTGTTACTTGTAGCATTAAATGGCGAGAAGTTCTCGAAAAGAGGCGCGAAGTTTCGAGTTGTGTTAGACGACTGAAATAAAATGCCCCGTCCGTCTGCATTTAACGATTCCTTTTGTCGGCTAACTGCGCCTTCGAAGTAGCTGCTACCTACGCTACCAAAGTAAATCTCGACTCCTTTCGTAGACATGGTGTCACGGCCGAGAGGCGTCGTGTAATTCCATTATGCAAACTGTCAGGATGCGGAATGGAAGCTCTAATCGCGCACGGGGACTTTAAAGTCGCGACTGTTTAACTTGTAATTAAGAGAAGCCCAAGAAGGGAGAGCGTGCGGTACGCGTTGCCTGCGTAATGCGTCGTTATATCCTCACTTGAAGACAGAGAATATTAATTAAACTAATACATCAGAAACGCGCCATAGTCAAAGTTCAAAATTGATTTTTAAAAGTTCTACTTTGTTAATCCTAGTCGAAGGTGAATAATTTACATAACGAACTCTTACATTATGTAGGTATATCATTTTTCATTATACACTAAATCGTCGGTTGAATATATAATGAGAAAAATAAGAAGTGGTTTAATTTTGTGTATTTTTTTTAAATATTAATTCAATTCTTAAAGTGCTGTTTACTGACTTAATAATTTATAACATTCACGTATTATTCCTCATACAATCATTAACTTAAAAATTTCAATAAGATGATATTTTGAAGTATCTTAACATTGCAATAAATTTTAAATTAACGTAACATGTGAGAAAGCACTTGAAAATCACGGACTGTAACTTCTGCTATGCAGTATTTCTTCTTCGGCCTAATTGAGACGAAGTTTTATCGCACAACTTCGCTCAAACGTTATGAAATCAGAATTGAATTGTATCGTTCGTGCATCAAGCATTTTCCTCAAATCTTTCGCTTTTACTGTGAGCGCACATCACCAACCGTATCCTCTCATCGTCCCGATGCGAAGCGATGCACTTTCGGGTGGGCGAGAGAACTGAAAGTTTTGTGCTCGGTAGAAATTTCTCGTACTGTACGACGAGCGGCCACCGGGAAAATCGATTGCAATGTCCCGTGAGAGTTTCACGTTTGGTAGTTGCGCCACGCACTGATCTAAATTTGGAGCGTACTATTCTAAATACATTCGGCTTGACATCGATTGTACCAAACGTCTAAACATGCTCGCACGTTCTCTTCCAGAACGAACGAGAAAAACAGAGCGCGATTCGGAGTGCCCGAGGTCGTTGATGGGAAAGTTTGTTTTGAGTTGACTCAGATTTGGTCGAAAAATTCGATTTTAGAGATAATCAAGTTTGGAAGACTCGGGTTTCACGGAAATACTAAAATCAGAGAAACAAAGTAATTTGTTAAAAGAGTTAGTTCCATGCATTTATTTCAACAATGACTTAGGAAAACATGCATATAGAAGGTAATATAAAATAATAAAAAATATTGACCGTATAATTTTATTTTGTATTTCCCGATTGTCTTAACGTTAATTACAAATAATCATTCTTTCAAATTATACGTCAAACCAAACGTTGTTGCCGATTCTTTTAATAACCAACAGTCATGACGCACGAATAATACCAGATTGCAATGTGCCGAGCAGAATTTGACTGGAACGCAGCAATTTTCAGGTGTGAAAGCATCAGTGATTTCTAGTGTACCAATTTTAATCGTGAAAATAGAAACGCGAATTTCCATGTTGTTTCTGTTTCGGCTCTAAACAGTAAACCCATGTTTGGTAAAAAAATGAATTTCCCAATTGGAATCGCATGTGATATACCTATTCGGGACAAATTTGAGTATTCTAATTGTAATCTATGTTGTGGTTGGGACGATTGAGAATTTTCTGTACGGGTAGCAGTATTATTGAAGTAAACTGATTTGATCTAATCGTAACAAGGTAAAATAAATGATTTTAATAATTTACACAGCCAGTTACACAATGCGATTCTAATATAAAGATAAATTTTCAAGTCTCCACAATTATTATTTCCTGATAAAATATTCTAATATAATAAACTGCAACTTTTTACTTACTTATTATGTTTATGTGGGAACAATGCTCGCGCGGTGGCAGCGACTCTCGCGCATACCAGATTAAAAATTAAATTGTATGTAAACTAACAACAGCGTGCCGCGTGTCGCATTATAGTCGGTGTAAAATTTGTAGAGGGTGTCGAATATATTAACGCTCCGTTTATGTATAATATGTAACGAACGTCGATGGTCGGAAAAACTTTTATCTTTATGAGAGTTTTATGCTCACCCGGGACAAAGACGACGTGGCTGTCCTAAGCGCGCCGCAATCAAATTTGCCGTCGTTAAACGGCAATTAATATATTAAAGTTAGGCGAATGTTTTAAGAAAATTGATTTAAAATTCCATTCCGCAACAAGGGACTAATTACGAAACTACCGTGCTGTCGTTGAAATCGCTCGCGGAAATTCCGGGAATTACCCTGAAGTGGCTGCCATTTCGAAGATTCGGTAACGCCGCGACTGCTCGTGAAGGGTGTAATATAATGCGAAGCAGTTAATTGCAGTTGTAATTGGCTGTGATGAAGGCGGCTGGTCGCGTCGAATATCGTTATTATCCATCGCGAGAGTAATGGCGATTGATTAATTGCGACTGATTAATTGCGACAGCGCACGAACGTGCATTCATTGTACATCCGCGGCAAATTTCAATTGTGGTAATGCAGTTAAATATTAATTATTTGCCGTTAGATTACTTCGTTTACCAAGAACCGCGTACGAGCTGCCGGCGTTTCAGCGGAAAGCTTGTAACAGCCGTTTCGAAAGCGCATATCTGACAGCGTACGTACAGTTGAAACGTGTGTGTGTGTCTGCAAATTGCATTACATCAGTAAATAATCATGCAATTGTCAAAGTCGCTATCCTCTTTTTAACGGGACGTTTCAATTTGAACAGAACGCATTCAACGATACATTTGTTTCCGAGAATGATACAAAAATCACTTTTTTTATTTGACAGTTAAACATTTGTAATAGTAAACAATCTTTGCTGTACTTGTGATGTACATTAAAACAAAGTAAAACAAAAAGGAAAACATTTTGTCGTATAATAATTTAATGTTGAATGGCTTTAGAGGATATTTTGTTTGTATAACTACAAAATTTTGATTTTATTTTATTTTTAACTTTAAAAATAATATTTAATTATCTAAATATTATGTTTTTCTTATTTAGATTATATTTTACAGATACATACTGCATGCGTAAAACAAACCTTAATCTACTTGTTTATACGAGTTTAATAGGTCGTTAAAGACTCGGAGCTGATAAGTGCATTAATTTCTCGAATTACTTCGAAAAGACACTCGCTCGCGGATTTAGAAAAGGGAATCTCTCTCTCTTTCTCTCTCCCTTCCTTTTTCTTCGTCTCTTGTTTGAGTTAAATATAAGCTTGTTCCGGCCAGCTATTGTCTCGCGAGCATCCCATTAATTTGTCAACAATCACTTCTCGCTCACAATGCGCCGCGGCTTGAACGAAAAAGTTCGACTCCGATAGAAATGTTTAATACCTTGGACGGGGAAATTAAATCCTGGGCGAACAGCACGGCACAGAAAGTCGAATTACTTCGAAGAGAAAGTTTTCCAGCGTGGAGGGGAGGATACGAAATTTAACTCTGCTGCGTGAAATTATACGAAACTGCCGAAAGTTAGCGAGCAGTTATTCCGTTAGTTGTACGTATTGTACATACGTAGAGCGAATAACATGAGTAAAATAATTAGTTGTTCTCACATTTCAGCCTATTCCACGAAGGGCGTGTACCTGTAAAATTCGATACTCCCGTCCACCCTTTTTGAGCGATGCTAATTGGTCAATTATAGAAATAATCACGATCACATACAAACGCGAATCCATATAAATGCCCCGATATTTCTACGCTTCCTTTCGCATCACAATTATACACACGGTTACATTGTAACTGGCGCGGTCAAACGTACTTGTGTCCGTATAAATACGCGAACTAAATTTATGCACATCGAAATTGCATTTCGAACGAATCGTAAACAGCAAAGCTCAGCTGATTACGATCATACAATTAATTTCCAAATATCGTACTTCAATTTAACCAATACATTCGCAGAGAACAGTTCTCCCTCAGATGCAACAAAGGCAAAAATATTATCTTTGATACATCGATGGATTGCAGCTCAAGCCATAAAGCCATTTTTCATCGTTACAACGTGCGAGACGGGCGTAAGCACAAATATCTAAGTATAAAAAGTATGTTAAACGTTGGAAATTCATTCGGGCGACGCTGTAAAATACCTGCATCGATCTTTCGCTGTCCCAATGTTTTAGATAAAGATTAAAACTCGACGGCAATGTATTGCATCATGTGTTCTATCAAAATTCTTTTTCTCTTTTGCGATATCGTGCTGGCGCAAGTAAAGTTTCCCACAGTTAACTCTCTTCATTCTCACGAACTCACCACGGATACTTATTTGCGAAACTCGTAAATCTTCGGTCGCCATATTTGTAAAACTCGTAAATCTTGCACTACTTTGTCGTCGCATTCGTCGCTGCCGGTATTTCGAATACGGAAAATCGCTGCGACGACGTGGTTGCCGTATAAGCAGATATTCTGGCGCGAATTTTCCACATTTCCCGTATCTGTAGAAAAAAAATAAACGATAACGTATGAGTGTTTTAAAAAGACTTGAGCAATCTTTGATAAATTAAACAAAAATGTATCAAATAATTTAAAAACATATTGCGGTATACATTAGTACTTTTAATTATATTATTGTTACAATATATAAAACAGAAAGTCGAGAGTGAGGAGAGAGAAAGAGAGATATGTGTGTTAGTTATTTTATCAATTACCACAAAGGTTGTTACTATGCTAAAAAGGGCGACATTCACAGGAACACTTTTATCACTTGTCATGTCGCCGTGCCTGAGTGCAGGAAATCTCAGGCCTATCATTTGCGAAATACAATCGCTTATTATTTAAAAACTATTATAGCCTCGACATTTTTGTATTAGAATTTTTGTTTAAAAAGTTTCTAAAGAATCTGTGATTAAAAGGATATCCGGTGGTTTTAGTACACCCTGTATATATAATTTAACTTACTAATGCGTTCAGACGTATTTAATATTTCAGATAATTCTATTGAAATGGGTTTAGCTGAAAAATTTTGAGTGGGTTCGTATTTGCCTAAATTTGAAATAGCAGTATTGCTTCGTATCAATAATTCGTACGGAACATTTCCGCTATTATAAGCAGCGATTTTAGGTGTTCGTGCTTGAACACCATCTAGATGAACAATCTGAATTAAAATTATTTTATTTTAATGAGATTAAAGAGATTTTAAGAGATAAGATTTTATATTATATGTCATTATTATTTAATATTTCAAAAATGTATCAAATTACTATATTATTATTTTCTTTCTAATCAATTTATTTATAAATTTATCGAGATTTTAAGATTTTGCCTCAAAACAAAAATCTGCGATCGCGAGACGACAATTGAGCAAATTTCTCCTTTCGCAAAGGTATCTTCATCGACAAATTGTCACCCTTGGTTAACCACGATTGTAAAACTGGTAACTCACCGCTCGATTGCCGCATTAAGTGTTCGCCCATGCGAATATTGGTTTTCATTATGTTCGCCATTATTAGTCCGAGGTATACCGTCGTGCGTGGCTAAGAGTAATGACAATTTCACTTCGCAGTAACGAGTTTGAGATAGTTCGTTGATTGAAGGGCCAACGCGCAAGATCGTGAGGCTTGGGCCTTTCGGCGGATATGTTCTCTCGTAAACGTCCGTCGGGTCTAATTGAACAAATAATCGCGTCATGAGAGGAGTTAGGTTCGAAGCGTAATCTATGCCGTGCGATTCAATGCAGGAAATGTGCATATATTTCGGATACTCCGGCATATCGTACTTGCATGACGAACGATACCAGAAAGCTCTTCGATCATTCGCACCTTCGGTGTTCGCTTCTGTTTGTTTTTGCCGGCGGCAGCTTTTTAATAATTCCCGATTATCCGTCGGCGAACAATGCACTGAGCAGTAATGACGCGACGCGACGCATCCGTTTCAGAGAGAAAACTTTTTAATGCCCTTTTGTAGGCGTTCGTGGAAAATTAAAGTTTGTCGGGTGGTGCGGGCCAGATCCCCTCGCAGAAATTCTCCGTGCGAAATTCACTTTATTCCTCTTCTTGACTGGATGTTCTCCCTTCTTCTCTCTCTCTCTCCCTCTTTTTTTTTTGGCTTTTCGCGCTCCTCCTTCTCGACGGCGAGGTGGCGAAATGATTCGACCTATCCGCTTGTGGAAAACTCGTGTATAACGTTTTATTGATGGCTGAAGCTGCTACAGTCATCGTTATTTCGCTTCCTCAGCGCTTCTGCCACGCTTTAACGATCCTGCGGAGCCAGCACGTATGCGAATTTTTGGCGATCCATCATCGCATTGGTTGGATATTACCCATTTAGCACGTTGCGGCGTTTCGTCAAAATTATGATGGGTAAAAAGTCGATCAGCCGATGTTAACACTTCTCTTATCTTTTCGCTAAACTTCTCCGCGTTCAGTCTCTGATGGGAATGTGATTATTCCGCAAATCAAAGCCGTGGGGTACTTTACCAGCGCGAGCGGAAGTACTTACGTCCGTTTGATTCCGCGCGCGATTATTGAAGGTACATTATTAATTAACGACGCGAAGGTTCGGTTAAAGACGAACGGCAATTTATAATTTACAAGCAATTCCCGTAGCGATTGTGCGACGTACGAAGGGGGACCGGTGTTGCCGACAGAAATTGCGGAATTCGGCGCGATATTTCACCTTTGGGAATCGCTTTGGTAATACCGCGATTTAGGATACTGTATATTTTACGCGAGGGCGTACACCACCTTCTCACGCGGGTGTACCTACCTACTTGGTCGGATAAACTTTCCGGCTTTAAGATCCTCACCCATCTTCGCCAGGCTTGTTCCGAAAAAGAGAAGGGGGAAAGCCCTACGAGAACCTCGCGGAAAGGCTTTATGGCTTTTTCCGACGTATCCTACAACGCGCGTGTTAGTCGTGTGAGATGTATGAACTCCGGTGTAAAACGAGTGCGATAAAAATGCTTGTCTTGTTGAAATATTCGACACTCGTTGTAACGAGATTTAACATTGGGGGTTTTTTCCGTTTCCTTTTTCCAAACAGGGGTCCGTGACATCTAAGCGCGAATTTTTTACGCGGCCGCGGGAATGCTTTTTCGCAATTATGACCAAACGGACTTCCTGGTCTCATAGACTTACAAATGAAGCTCTTTAACTTCTTTACGGGGGCGACTTTCAACAAAGGTCTGTAAACGCACAGTAATTCGCAGTAAATGCTCGCTTGAATTTTAGTTTTGGACAATTTCCGGCAATAAAGGAACTTTTTTATCTAATTTTCAGTTATTTCCTCACAATTTTTTAAAATGAAGCAAGTATACAGAACGTTTTGTAGACGTTTAAAAGAAACCTTCATTGTTCATACTCTCCAAGTTCCTTAAATGACAGATGTCGTCTATATACATTTGCATCGTTCGTATTGTTTGGTTCTTGCACGCGAAGGCCACTATTTTTTAAATTATCGTTAAATAATAAAGAAACTTTTATGAATTTTAGAATATTCTCTCTCGCAATAGATCAATCAAACAGATCATTACTTCAGCACAGTAATTCGCAGTAAATGCTCGCTTGAATTTTAGTCTTGGACAATTTCCGGCAATAAAGGAACTTTTTTATCTAATTTTCGGTTATTTCCTTACAATTTTTTCAAATGAAGCAAGTATACAGAACGTTTTGTAGACGTTTAAAAGAAACCTTCATTGTTCATACTCTCCAAGTTCCTTAAATGACAGATGTCGTCTATATACATTTGCATCGTTCGTATTGTCTGGTTCTTGCACGCGAAGGCCACTATTTTTAAATTATCGTTAAATAATAAAGAAACTTTTATGAATTTTAGAATATTCTCTCTCGCAATAGATCAATCAAACAGATCATTACTTCAGTAGTAGAGGTGTTTATAAAATGCAGGGTTGCTCTGAGATATTCTCAAATAACAAGCAACTAGAAAAAAATTTCTGTAATTAAATTCCTCGCTCCCCGTGCCAGAGATTGTTCTATTGCTTGTGATAAGATATCGTTATGTACACATAAGAAGTACGAGTGCGATTAAAACTTAAATTGAAGATTCGTTGTGTTACTTTCACAGAATATTGCTGAAATTTATTCCAAACATTTGTGTATTAAGCCAACGGCACACGATACTACTTTTCCTACTAGATTTCTTACGAGAGCCAATCTGGATTTAGCCTTAAGTCACCCGATCTGAAACTTTGCATCCTTATTGCCTCTCGTAAGCAATTTAGTAGGAAAAATAGTACCGTGTGCATTGGCTTTATTGTTAATAAATTGCGTATGTCTACAAATTTCTCGACAGAAATTATATTGATCTAGTAACAATAGGCTCCATTCGTTTCACTCTATAGCATTATAATAGATTTGTAACTCTTAAAAAATTCCCTATGAAACGTTAATGTGCATTACGGTGTGAACGTTATAATACGACTCATATATACATGTATGTCTCGTAATTAGCGAAATATATAGAGTGCCATTTTCGTGAAAAAAAATGTTAACTATATTCTATTCTGCTACATTCTGTGGAATAATGTAGCTAATTAGAACTGCAAGTATAATTTTCGTAGTTTTGCATGGAAATGTATATCCAGAAGTTTCTCAGCCAACGCCGACAATAAATGCCCGATTATCGTACATTTTCAGTTTCTCTTCAGGCATACGTGTTGGAATGAAGTTAAATCGTTCGGCGACAAATCGCTTAGAAAGGACATAACATAACGTATGCAGTAATGCGATTTAGCGGCACGTCGAGCAGGAGATATATTGGGAAAAATGTATAATAATCGCGATACAGGGCCGATACGGCGCGTAGTTTTATTTTGCACTCAGATTTATTGCTCTCGTAATGGCAGTTACGCGGGCACGATCGATACTTTACACTTTAGCGCCGAGTAGGCGCAATGGCTTTACAATTTCGTGGGGCATACGTGCGAGACGGGGTTAAACGTTTCGCGACGACAACGAGCGAGCCAGTGAAACAGGGAGAGAAGAGGAGAGAGCGAACGAGAAACGTTTTATTAAAAATCGTTGCCGCCATCCGGGTGTGGGACCACATTTTCAATTCGGCTCATGGTCGACATCTAACTTTTACGACGCGTCGAATTCACGTCGCCACGGCCGTCCGGTCTTCCAGATTAAGACGTCGTTTTGCTCTAATCTTCCATAAAACGGGCAAGACTTTCATGCAGATTCTTTGACTGCCGCCGCTCGACGAGCTCGCGGCATTGCTTTCGGCGTTTATTTATTTTTTACAGGTTTAATCAATTAGAATTGGTAATTTAATATCTGGCACTTTTATAACCGATTATAAATTATTAACAAATACTGATCAGCACAAAAACTTTCGCCGCAAGGTTTTTAATTAATTTTAGGAATTACGAGGTATCTTAAAAGGAAAATTGGTATTTGGATTAAATATTTAGATTTTGTGGTTTGTGTTAATTGGATAATAAAATTTTTTATTATTTTTATTTCCTCGAAAAAAT